GTTTTATAGTGATTTACAATCGCATGATGGTATTATAGATGGTAAAATTTTCTACGGAAGTTTTTCATTGTAAAGACATTTATTTGAGAAATAATTTTACAAAAATTGATTCAGTATTACATTTCTAATGACATGTCTCATAACTATTTTGTGATTTGCAACAATAATTGTATTAATAAAAGATGATTTTCGTATTAAAATTTTGTTTGTAATCACATAGAGACCAACATTAATATTTTTGCTTGGTGTTAGAGAGAGATAGAATAGAAGAGAGTCTTCGTAGATGGTTTTACCATTAGACGTGTTGGTGATAAACCATAAAATTTTCTTATATTATAATTATATACTCTTTAATACTAAATTTACAAAAGTGTAGACACTCTACGAGTGATAAGTAGCAACTTTGTTATGGACTGTTCTTTTTGTAGGAAAATGTACTGTATACACTTGAAGCAATGTTGGTTTTAGTATGTATGAATACTTCGGGGCTACATTGATCCCTAAATCTGAACGAAAAAACAAAAATTGATCATCTTTTAACAACTTTACTAATACAGCAAATGTTTACATTATATGCTAAAACTAACTTTGTAACCTTTTTATTCACTGGAGGACGAATTGCATGAATTTTAAAGTCGAACAACGAAATAACTTCTCTGACATTGCCTGACATTGAGACACACTGTCATGGAGAATCCAATCCTCAGTGAATACCAAGCATTATACTTAGGTACAGTGTTCTTAGACTGTCGTATTTTAAATATTATATTTATGTAATGTAGGTGTAACTTTCTGAGAGAATTCAAGTTTATTTGTGATCGAATCAAAATAATAAACCATTGCTTACAAACTCCTCCAATACTATAATAAAACGTTGTAAATGTGAAGTATTCCGGTGTTATTGTTGTAAAGACTTATTGTTAACATTTGTTAATTATTAAGTTTTGTGATTTGTCTACTTGTACATTTTATATTAAAAAGACGGATGTCAGATCCTCTTTGCGTCTATGTTGATAACTGAAATATGTTATTATTATATACTTTTAAGTGGCAACATTCATTCTTATAACTGAGCCGTCTTAAAATATACGATTTAAAAATATTTTTAAATATGCCTACAATCATGCTGTCCAATACTTGTAGTGCCAAATGTGGTTGTACTAGAAACGAAATGCAGATACGGAATTATTTTGGTATATTTATTAAGAATCATTTAAAACCTTAAAGTCTAAAACACTTTTTTACTTAAGCAGTTAACTACGGATTCAGCCTAGTTATTACTATTTGAAAAATTAAACGAATGTGAAACAATAGGTTAGAATTTTTTGAAATTTTGTATGCACTGTATTTACGATAGGGCTTAATCTTCCGTCTAAGTTACACGTTGTACACGTTATATTGAATGCTTTATAATTTGGCTTCCTAATAAGATTTGCCTTTGACTTAACACTTTCCCGGACAGTGTTAATAGAGAAGTGGAGAACAGGTCATAGTTAGTCGGGGAGTCGGTTCATACAAAAATTAATTGTTAATTTTGAATCATTATGTTTGATGTTCTTTTTGTTTATACTTCGCAGTGTAAGTAACTCGGAAAGTATTAGCAAAGTCGCGGTCGGGAGTGTGAGATTACGATTAATATTTTTTTCGAGGAAAACGGCCGAGTGTATCTCCGGATCCGTAGGAGTTAACGTGCACGTGCACGTAATATGTCGTACGAATAAGAATATTAAGTGTTTCAAAACAACACATCTACATTCATATAATTATAAGCTTGATAGAATTGCCTAATAGTGGTGTCAAAGATTCAGAAAGGTAGTCGTCTTCCTTTCAAACATTGCAAATGGCCGCAGGCAACACTCCATCGCGTCGGGTCGGTGCCTTTACAATAAAAACAAAATGTCAAATTCGAAAGCAAAGCTCCTAAAATACGATATCGCGATCTCATTGATATTATCGTGTGATGAGGCTTTATGTTAACGATTTGAAGCCGCTCATACACCTGAAGCATTTACGAGTATTGCAACATTGAAAGTGTTCAAAAGAACTGTGTGCCCAAAAGGACACGTAGTTCAGAATATAACTGTGAACTGTTACATTACATGTAAATGTTCCAAGTGAATGAGCGCATTTACGTTTATTTTCAGCACATTTAGCGTTTAAGTTTTTGTACAGAGATTTTAATGAGTTTATATTACGTTATAAATTAATAACGCTTTTCACAGTTTTTATTATTCCTGCTTTTTGGCGAGATGATTTAAATCGTTGGTTACTCAGCTATGTTATGTTTTATTTTTCCAATATCAAGTTAGATTTACAGCTTTTATTGTGCAAAGAATAATATTTGAGATTGGTATTTCATGAGACTTTATTTAATCGAAAATGAAATCATTTATTTATTGCATTTTTATTATTTTTTCTAAATAAATATTGACGAGAATAGATGTAGTGAAGTGAAATGATATTTATTGTTTATTATTTATAAACTTATGTGAAGTATTGTGGTCCTTTGCACACATATTAATGAAGTTACTATGCATACATCATACATGTTTGTTACAGTGTACAGAGTGGAATGAAGTAGTTACCATTATTATTTGTGTACAAAACTGCACAAAATCGAGTTCAATTTTGCTACGTACATTACTAAGCCAGGGCTAGGCGTAAGAATACAATAATTTGATCTGATACTAAATACATTAAGTTATATTAGTTGGTTGCTAACGATGTTTATTTACTTGTACATTTATAAATTATATACATAACTATGTAGCGCGTAATCGCTGAGAGAAAAAAATGTATTTTGAAAACGACAATAATCAGTATTTAAATTATTAGCACTTTTACAATAAGTGTAATGTAATTTCTTGTTTTTGGAGAATATTTATATGTTAAAGTTTGAATTATTATTTCTGTATTGGTATTATTTTATGTAGATTCGTTTTACTTCTAAGTATTGTATGTATATTTCTATACGGCCAAGTAGGTATCTAATGTTCTCCTAGAGAGATATTTATCAATAATGTTTCAACGAATTGTTTACAATATAGAAAAAAGCAATAAATCAATATACGAAATAAATACAAGTGTTTTATTGTCTGTCTTGGAATTTGAACTCGCAAACAGCTAGATCTAGTGTTATACACGAAGTCACGAACTACCATGCTATGCCTCTTCTAAATGGACTTCTAGTCTAAGGGCTGATTTTTCAATCGTCAGATAACTTTTTACTGAAGAATAAGTTTGGCACATTTTCAGTATGGAAAATATGTCAAAATGACAAACTTATTCTTCAGTTAAAAGTTATGCGACGATTGAAAAATCAGCCCTAAAGAATGTTCACTAATTTTGTTTTTTAGCTTTCTGTATTCTCTGTTAAAAATAAAAAATACACGTGAAAGAATTATTTCGATACGTCAATTAGTTTCCAAGATATTGAATTTTAAAAGTGCGGGCGGCGGCCGGCCCACCATTTTATGCGCGTGACGTCATATTACAGTGACTGGCTCATATTTGTATGGGTGGAATCTTGCAAGCTGAATTAAGACCCACTTCCAGGCAACCAATTAAGCTGAAATTTCGCAAACACATGTGATTTGGATGACCATGCAATATTATGATGACATGGAGCTGATCTGATGATGGAGCTGGAAGGTGGCCATAGGAACTCTATAATAAAACGACTTAAATCCATCGAGTTTGGGCTCGTTCGTTTTGTATTGATGAGTACTTTAATTCTATATAGTTATCAGGGTCTAATGATGGAGCTGGAAGGTAATTCGCAATAAAACGACACAATCGCATCAAGTTTGGGTTTGGTTCAATTTTAATTTCTGTGATGGGTCTGGGTGTTAATATGTATAATAAGTTTGTATTTACAAAAAAAAAATGTATTTAAGTATGTTTATATCCGTTTTCTAGTGAGCGGACACTGTGAATGTACGTCACGCGGGGTCACGTGACCGTCGGCGGGACTCAATATTTAAGCGAACTTTGAATGCCTATAAAATCATAACTACTGGGTATTTTTGAATGAAATAAAAACTAATGTATTTGTAAATGTAAAAGCCTAACTGTAACATAGGTTTCAAGTGATTTTGCATACCTAGTAACATTCTCAATTGCTCTACCATCTTCAAGACTAAATAAGGTATGCCACGGTCCACGACAGAAAAGTAGCACCTTTTTACAATCTCTCAGCTTGCTGTTCTGTCGTATGTAATCTGTATGACACGCACGCAACTTTCTGTAGAAGCCTGCATACAGAACAGCACATCATTATACAGCGTGACCCACCATAATGCCAGTCTAATTCCACGATGATCAGTGTAATGGGTGCTCTAGAAATCTCACCCTACACGCGACCAGGCAGAGAAAGCGAGCGTATCGTAGTTACAAAACATCAACTTTTTGTGGCGCCAAATAAATGATAGCGAGATCTGTGGTAGTGCCAAATGTCGAACGCCTAGCCAACAACCTAGCCGCTCTAGCAGATATTGCTGTAAATAACTTACGTTTTAGACAAATAGGTAGGCCGCTTAGGAGGATGTAGGAGACTTAATTTTTTTATGCAAGGCATTTATTTTTGAAACGTTAATTACACACGTAAGTAAGGGGAATATTTTCATAGACTTATTGTATAAAATAATGAAAATAATATAAAAACATACTATGTATTAAATAATACGTTAGTTCGAAAACGCTCGCAATGATAGGAATTACAATGACATAATATGCTAGGTCTTGGTCTTGATTTCAAATAGGTAAAAAAAAATCGTATAGTAGGTAGATACGATATTAATTTGCAGATAGAAATTAATTTTGTATGATGTCAAATAAATTGTCAATCCATAAAATAACCTTGAATTTAAGTGTCACACCTACCCGCATTAAAATAATAATGATGCAGTTTTTACGGTCGGTGCAGTGTAATTAAGGATCCCATCCCAATAAGTTACAGCATATACCTACCTAAGTATCTGAATAAATTCCGTGTGCACTGGTTGGGTCGGTTCGCCGCAACTGCATTATCACTCGTTCGCGGATCGCGGCTGCGCGCATGCGTCGCCTTGACCAACATGGCCGACCGCAAATTCGCGCGCGAAAACTTATAATAAATTTAAAAAAAACAACCAGTAATGTCACAACCAAAGATTTTTTCCATAGCAAGTATGAGACGATTAAAATGCCTAAGAATTGTTTGAAATATTTAATTGTGCTTGCGGTTATTTATCTCCTAGTGAGGACATGTGATTGTGCCAAAAATCAAGTGAAAAAGTTCAAGAGAAAAGTGGACGACATAGATTTGAAACAAAATAATTTGTTGCAACAGAATGTGGTGAGGAATTCGACCAATAATGAGAGAAGCAGAGGATTCTTTACGCCCGGTAAGTGAAACATTTTACATAAGCTTTTATTTATCTTGATAATGTCCCGGTGTAATCAAGTTACAAGTTGATTTTGACCCAGTTCTCGTTTGATTGAGCTGACGACATTTTTTGAAGCATTCGAATTTAAAGTCGCATAATATTAAGTATGGCCGCGCACAAATTGTTTACGGTTTGTTTACGAAATAAGTACACAATAATAATAATTGGTTCAAAATCATTAATAGTTAAATACTTTGCCTAATTTGAAATGAAAAATGAATGCCTTTTATGCAGTTTTCTTTTAGACCACAAGACCGATCGTTTTTCAAAAAAAAAATAAAGCTCGTCTTGTAGTTCTTTATTAAAATAACAATTAAAAGTTGCTGAAATACTTTAATTCGCGTGGGAATCGAAAAGATAACGATAGTCTGGTTCACAATTTTTGCTCACGATTTTATTTTGCTTGATTGGTCTGTAATTGGTTAAATAATGGTAAAATATTTAATATCAATAAATTGATCATTAGTATTCAGTACTATTATAAATACTTATAAACGTAAACAACAATACCGGTAGGTTTCTTGACTAGTGTTTAATTTCATTCCAGTAACGTAAAACGAAATTGTAAGCGCTTGCCGAACTTGGGGGTTTTACCTTAAAGCTAGTGAATTTGTTAAGTTGGTTTAGTAAAAGCTAATCAGTTTACGAGGCGCTAAGTGCTTGCACTTCAACCGGCGAACTTTATCGCGGCGAGGTGTTACTTTTAAATGAACTAAACTGGACGGGGCTCTACGAAAATTCACCTTAGTGTTTGGTTTATTTTTAGTGAAACTTGCTTTTTCTACTAAAAATTTGCAGTAAATACCTTAATTATAAGATTTTAAGGCTTTTCCCTCTGGGGTGAGTTCTCCAGCTTGGTTCAAAGGTCAGCATTTGATGCTACTTCTACTAGTCGTCAAACTACGTCTTTTAGGTCACCTCGAAGTCCGAAGTAAGTCTTCAGGATATCGAATGAAAGATGATTTTAGAAATCATTACGATTAAATGAGCTTTCGCTCAATCAGAATGTAAAGTCGACGATAGCCTAAATCGGCAATAGACATCGGTGGCACCACAGAACATAGACTATGTTCTGTGGGTGGCACTGATTACTATAATTTTCACCTTGTTTCAATCATACTAAGAAGCTTAACTTGGTCATACATTAATATGCAATAAGCTCGCAATTGAATTCCATCCTATAGAAATGCGATCAGATCCCGTTAATCGATCATCTGTTACACAGCCTTCAATTAGATTTACCCAATGCCTAACATGACTACATTATCCTCTCATTTCATGTAATCAGCCATGTTTTAACCAAGTCCTGTTCGCAAGCGGTTAACCTTATTCTTACTGGTTAGCGCGTCTGGTTTGTAAGTGGGGAAGTGTGTAGCCCATGTTACCTATTAAACGCATTTACTGAGATGATTTGCGTTATTTTTCGCTTTAAATGACTGCGCAGATTTAAGTAGCAACGTCTAGACGTCTGAGTATTTGTAATTTTAACGAGTTGATGTCTAAACGCGAATTATTTATTATTAACGGACCCGATAAACTTATTGATTTGCCTTGTTGAGTCATAAGCCAGAGTGATTGGTTTAAAAATAAAATAAAACGAAACGCAGCATGAAGTCCAACTTGTGAATGGCGAACGGAAATCTGCCGGTCCGAGAGATATCAATAGATCAATCAGTATTACTTTCCTTGGGGTACAAAAAAGAATTAACGTAAAAACCCAAATTCAGATAAAGATAACCATGATTGCTTTTAACAATTTATTGTGAAGTATTTATGAACCGACTTCAAAGTCGCGTCGATTTCGTTATGAATAGGAACGAGAGTATGCTGAAAAGTTTAGACATAACTGAAGCATTTTCATTTACGATGAAAACTCTACCTACATTGATACCTCAGTAGAACGTGTATACAAAAGTTAATATCTTTTACTTAAGAATGGCTTATTAATACTTATACGAGTACATACATACCTAGTTATTTTTAGCTTTGCTCGAGCTAAGGCTTGCTACGTAATTAATTTCCTTAATGCTATGCCACGTACACTCAAGTCTGGAGCTGCATTCTATTTTGCATTTTCATAATAAGTACGAGTATCTTTTGTTTGTCTGCTTGATATTTGAAAGATAAACAAACTTAATTCTTACGCGATGTATAAGCTCCATAAAACAGTTGTGTTTCATTGTGTGTTTACAGTTGAAATAAAAATAAAATTAGTCACAGGCCCCAAAACCCCGATACCAGAGACATCGGGTGTTTCATTATCTTGTCCTGCCCAAACCGGGGACGCCCACTTTCGCGCATCTTCATAATAAAGGATTTTTATTCGCTTTTTGTGAATTTTCATTATTTATTGCTCGAAGAAAGCAGGCGATCGGGTGGCGGGAGACATTATTGCATGCTTATTATTTGCTGATTTATGTTTACCATCATACTTCTTTCATTTTAACATTAAACACAGTCATGCACTTTTATTTTCCTTGTTGTTTATATCTTTTGTCCTGCTGAAGGTCACAAGGTTGTTTTATTATACGGTCATCTTGAAGACACTTTCATCTTGTAACTTTTATGGTTAAAGTTCTTTTACAACATAGGCAGGTATTAGTACCTACAGCATGAACATGAAGTGCGTTGTAAACTTAAAGGTTACCTACATTTCAGTAATAGTTCCCAAATAAACAAAGCAAATAAAAACCCCATTACCAAGGTCCAACGGAATGTCCAGTCGTTGAATCTATCCTACAAAGTGTGAGCTATAAACCGTAACGGCTTGGCTGACCCGGTAATTGAAGGCGGGACCTCTGGCACTCAATGTAATAGAGGTAGGAGTAAAAACTTTAAGGTGCCCTTCATTCCCTCTTTGGCTTTAGGGTTGCGGTCGAAAGTTGCGACAAAACAACGACTACATTTACTTAATGAGCTCCAATGATTAATTTACTACAGCCATTGAATTCAGGCGGCTTTCAAATCTGCCTGGAATTAATTTCTAGTTAGTAAACACGAATAATCTTTGATGAGTTGTTACAAAAGTGTTATTCTGTTAGACTAAACGCGAAATGTTTGTTTAATGGACTATATTTATTGATGTTTGTTGCTTTTTGACGTATATTTATGTACTACAAGTACTTAGGTAAACTGGGTACCTATGTATTAAAACACTATTTGATTCAACTTTAAACAGGTCTTTATGATAGAGATACATAAAATAAAGAAAACCTTTTTAGGACACAAGCTTCGGAGTAGTATATGGAGTACAGAGTAGACTACTGTTAAATTACATACCTAAGTAGGTACTTTCGTAAAAGTGTCTCGCCGATGACGACATTTTGAACAAAGGGTTCCGAATAAAATCAATAGATACCGATTATCTTACTCTTCGGGCGGGGGACCAAACTGATAAGGGACCCCAATCATCGTGCTCCGTGGGAAAAAACAATACGTTCGCAATGGTTCGCATAAATTTGGACGATTCGGGCGGTCGTTGCGGCCGTATCACGTAGCACAAAAACTGTTAGGGGCAACAACGTCCCGTTTTACATATTTTATTTTACAGCAAAACTGTGCGAACGCAAAATGTTAACCTTTTTTGAGCGGCGCTCGTGACGAGCATACGTTTTTACCAGTGTTTTACGATATAAATTATTTCAAGACTAGGTGTACGTTTACATTTGCAGCTCTATAAACAACATGATTGGCGGAAATACGAGTACTTTTGAGGAAATCGTAGGTAGAGTCATCTTATTTTGGGTCTGAAAAAAAAAACACCTATACGTTTTCGATGTGGTTTTACCCTTATCTTTGTCGTTTTTTATGTGAATTATGATTCCAAGACAAAATATCAATCAAAGGGTTCGTAAAAAGAATAAATTAAACAAAATAAAAAAAAATACTTTCACTGGCTTTAGATTAATAAAGTTGTATTGTATGTTACGGGACTATTCCCACCTCTCTTTCCCACCACCGCAACTCCTGTGTAGCCAGGATTTACAGCTTGACCGCCAATAAAAACCCAACCAGTGAAGGTCAAAGTTGTATGTTAGCCAAGGTATCATACCATATACTTTTATCTGGCAATCATGTTTTTCTTGATGGATGGATCGATTTCCCCTGTGGAATGGAAACTCCCCAAAATGCGGGTCCCCTTAATTTGGTCGCATCTGCATTTTCAAACGTTATCAGGCCCTATCTAATGTCGCTCTTGAGTGCGCATCATAATAATATTCTCACTTTTGCTGTATCTCTGGCAATTATCAAAACGAGCGCCATGCGGGGAACGAGAAAAACGTAGACGTTAAGAGAAATTATATGATATCTAAACAAGGCATGGCAAGCCACTTTTAGATACTTTTGGATAGTTTTTTCATAATCTAAGTCTTCTATCTTTACAAGATTACATGAATTGCATTTATTGTAGAGCCTGAAATGAATGAAAATATCGTCATTGCTAACTCCTAAAAGTGTTAAGTCATAATCTTCAATCGTAGGTTTCAAATTGATGGTAAGGGTTTAAATAAAATATACAGTGTGTTTGGGATAGGGCTAGCGATAATTTAAAGCGGTGTGTTATTATGTCAATTTTATCGACAAAAATGCCCCCAAAAACGTGCCCGTCAAAACTGTATTTGTTGACAAAAACTAAAATTCATTTTTTTTTTAAGTTTTTTGGACATTATTTTTCATTTTTGTTTTTTTTTAATGACACATATTATTTGCTTACAAATGCAATTTGTTATTATTTATCTGTAAGACAGGCACATAAGAAATACAAACTATTTTTATGTAGAGTCACATAAAAAATTAAGCCATTCCAAGAGGATGTGGGCCCACATATGGGGGCATTTTTGTCGACAAAATTGACATCACAACATCGCCTTAAATTATCGCTAGCCCTATCCCAAACACACTGTATATTTCATAGTGATCCTAATGAGAACGATTTAGCCTTGTCATTTGGTCGAATA